TAGGCAATGCTAACTAGTGTTGGTATCAGTGATTTGATGTGTACTGCCCTCTGTAGGTAACATACTGTCAATCATTACACAGTAATAAATACACTTGGCAATACTAACTAGCGTTGGTATCAGTGAGTTGATGTGTACTGCCCTCTGTAGGTGACATACTGTCAATCATTACACAGTAATAAGTACACTTGGCAATACTAACTAGAGTTGGTATCAGTGAGTTGATGTGTACTGCCCTCTGTAGGTGACATACTATCAATCATTACACAGTAATAAATACATTTGGCAATATTAACTTGTGTTGGTATCAGTGTTGATGTGTACTGCCCTCTGTAGGTGACATACTCAATCATTACACAGTAATAAATACATTTGGCAATACTAACTTGGTTGGTATCAGTGTTGATGTGTACCCCTCTGTAGGTGACATACTGTCAATCATTACACAGTAATAAGTACACTTGGCAATATTAACTAGTGTTGGTACCAGTGATTTGATGTGTACTGCCCTCTGTAGGTGACATACTGTCAATCATTACACAGTAATAAATACACTTGGCAATACCATGGAGGTAAAAAAAGAAGGAGCACTGACGCCTATTGTTTCCTTTGTGTACTATGATAGTTGGCGATTGTTTGCCAAGCAAACAATGCGCTGTCCGTTTTCCTGTTATCTGTTATCTTGGCAGGATAACACCATAGAGGGCGCACATCAACTGTGTATGCTTATAACTGAAACAATGCTATAATTGAGGTAATCTGACCTTACATGTTACTACAGTAAAACCTGTCAAAACCGACCCCTGGATAAATCGACCTACTGTCAGAACCGACCAATTTATGTAGCCCCGAAATTTCTCCATAGACGCCTATGTTAAAATAACCTGTGAAATCCGACCACTGTCTACTCCGAACACTGACCGCAGGTCCAATATTCACACTGAATACATCGACCATCCGACCAGTTGCACCACGTCCGCTGTCTAGTAATCCGGTCTGCCCAACCTAAAAAAGTGTGCATTGTGTTCAATTTACCGTGAAGTCACAGAAACAATACCAAATCTCACACTACTAGTAACGTCCCGAGTAATACAATGGCAACTGATTAAGTTTTTCACACCACACGCCCACGCATCGCATGGTGTCTGAACAGTGTAATGACCCCGGATATAAACAAATGATCAGGGTCATCACTTTCAGTTGCGATGAAACGTGCTATATCACCTTTATAACGAGCGAAAGACATTGGGTTTTCTTCTTTTCATAGCGATTCTGATCGATAATATTGTGCTTTTGAATGTTTCCGTGAAGGGGGCTTCAAGAATGAAATCGATGATGACGAAGAAGCAGACGACAACAAAGAAATCGGAAACCTTATTTAGAAAGTTGCAGACCCTCAAACACAGTGTAGCGACGTATGACGGCGAGAGAGAGCAACATATTGTTGAGAATTTTATTGCAGACAAAGAAAGGAATCTACAAACAACGATGACATAAATTGCAATGACAGTCAAATTATCGACCCCCACAACGACAGTGATTTGACGCATGGTGATGTGCTAGCCCGGGTGTGCTAGACATGTTGACGAGATTACAGAACTTCGCAATGAACAAAGACTCTAGTTACTTGACAGATATCCAAGATCGCAAAATTCGAACGGAAAACAAAATTGTTGAAAAAAGATATTCTTTAAAGCAGTCAAAACCTGATGATTTTTTACATCGTAATTTAATTCATTGACTTATAACAGCAAAATTAACTGTCTGCATAAATTATGATAATTACATACAGCTCATGTGAACTTACGTTGTGATGTCATTCACATTGGACGCCTCCAGTTACGATACGTGATACTTACAGTTCGAACAGTTATTTTAACAGTACATATAATATTCTTGTCTTGTTTGGTAAATTATTTTATTGAAACAATACAATAAATGTAAATATAATCACCGGAGGCAAACTCCAGTGTCTTTCATTTGTCCCGTGTTTACAGCACATGTAATTGTTGTGTCAATCGAATTGAGTTTCACCCACCCTGAATAAACCGACTCCCTCTGAAAACCGACCATAGATCCCAGTCCCAGTCGGTTTTGACAGGTTTTACTGTATATACATACTGTCAATCATTACACAGTAATAAATACACTAGGCAATACTAACTAGTGTTGGTATCAGTGATTTGATGTGTACTGCCCTCTGTAGGTAACATACTGTCAATCATTACACAGTAATAAATACACTTGGCAATACTAACTAGCGTTGGTATCAGTGAGTTGATGTGTACTGCCCTCTGTAGGTGACATACTGTCAATCATTACACAGTAATAAGTACACTTGGCAATACTAACTAGAGTTGGTATCAGTGAGTTGATGTGTACTGCCCTCTGTAGGTGACATACTGTCAATCATTACACAGTAATAAATACACTAGGCAATACTAACTAGTGTTGGTATCAGTGATTTGATGTGTACTGACCTCTGTAGGTGACATACTGTCAATCATTACACAGTAATAAATACACTTGGCAATATTAACTAGCGTTGGTACCAGTGATTTGATGTGTACTGCCCTCTGTAGGTGACATACTGTCAATCATTACACAGTAATAAATACAGTTGGCAATACCATGGAGGTAAAAAAAGAAGGAGCACTGACGCCTATTGTTTCCTTTGTGTACTATGATAGTTGGCGATTGTTTGCCAAGCAAACAATGCGCTGTCCGTTTTCCTGTTATCTGTTTAATCCCTTAATGCGTTTCGGAGGATTTTGACAAACTTCGGCAATCATTCGTATGCACTGCGCATGTGCGGAATCAGAAAAAACAAACATGGCGTCGGGCGTAACAGGAGTTCCTGTCGAAATTTCCGATATAGATTTTTCTGCGGAAAAATGGGCAGACTTGGCCTGTAGTTGAGGATGAACTGGCTTTTTTTCATCAGTCATTTTGTATATGTGGTGGCGAAGCGACAGAAAGCATGATTGCATGTGACGACAACGACTGCACAGTGATATGGTTTCATTGCGAGTGTGCAGGGTTGACAGCAAAAACTATCCCAAATAGCCCATGGACTGTCCAATGTGTACTGGTAAGTGTATATTATATTTGTGTACTTGTTTTTACCGCGATTGTACAGCTCCTAAATTAACTACATAAAATTCACAATGGCCATCATGACGTTCAGTTTCAGTAACAATTGAGCCATTTATTAAGCTTTCTTATTCTCATTTATATATTTATATTTGTTGTACTTGTTTTTACCGCGATTATACAGCTCCTAAATTAACTACATAAAATTCACAATGGCCATCATGACGTTCAGTTTCAGTAACAATTGAGCCATTTATTAAGCTTTCTTATTCTCATACTATCGTCATTACAGAAAAACAAATTAATAGCACAAACAAGCCTGGAAATGTTGTGAAAGAAATGGACATTGATGGAAAGACAGGACAAAGAAGACATGTGAACAAAATAAAAGGTAAAATTTACTTTGCTTTACCATTGAAAATTATCCACTTCACTTACGAAACAAGTTAATTTTCCTAGTGTTGTTTGACATACTATTAGTCTTCCAACCCATGCCAAACTGATTGTAAATGTATCCATTGAGATAATCTTTATTTATTCAGAGCTGATTTTATGCCCAGATGAAGAAATTTTCTCGTATTAAAATAATAACTAGCTTGCTTTTGTTGTCTGTATTTGGGCCTCACATATATTGTTAGTAATGTTACATTAAAAATTTATTTATTCTCAACATTTCAGTTATTGTGGGTTGAGTTGTCCACAGGCAGCAATTGTTTTCATTTGTAAAAATTTCACCTTGTTCTTGTTTAACATATTGTTATCAACTGTCTATTTTTTATTGCAGTGGCTTGTACATCGTCGTATACTGTGACAGATGCCCTCTGTAATTCTACCCAGCTTATGAAAACTGCATTGAAAAACATTCAAAGCAATCCAAAATTAAAGTTGAACAAAAAACTTGCAGAAGAGATGAGTCCTGTGTTCAGCGCACTACTATCTTCACCAACCACTGAAGAACTATCCTGTTTTATTATTAAAAAAATATGGCCAGGTCTTTGTCCAA